AAAAAAAAAACTACCTGATTTGCTTTTCATGCTACAGCATATGCCAGCACAAGGATATGAACAGGACTGGTAGAGTAGTCAAAAGCTTTAGGGAAATGGTAAAATTTAGTTGCAGGGAATGGATGGATGGATTTAGCGTCCAGCCAAGTGGAAATCTGCTATTCAGGATGCTTGCGCCTTCCCTCATCTTATGTTGGAAGGTGAGGACAAGAGCAGGGAATGCGCCCTTAGGGAGCATCTGCCATGGCTTGGTACCCAGGGGCATTTACTTTTGCTGTGCCACAATTGGGTGCTCACATGGACTCTGGGAGGTGAGTAGAGCTCCCATTTTATAGATCAGAATCTAAACTGGGTAATGGATAATAAAAGCCAGGATTCAACCCCAAACCTGTCCTTACTGTTTTTTTATTACTACTTTTTATTACTAATTATTGTAGAATTACTAGTAGACAAAGGAGGTCTGGGGCCTTTTTGTGGTCCATATGAACTGAGGCTTAGTACCAGGGCCTTCAGCAAAGTTCTTCCTTTTTTATCTAATCCCCCCTCCACCCCCCAGTCCCCACTGGACAAGGAATGTGTGCTTCGGTGTTGGTGAATGCTTTCGTGGATTTATTTTTCAGCTGGTTATTTTCAGTCCATGGATGCATGTGTCATATGGGAGTGCAATCTCCTCCCCCAACATGCTAAATCAATGATACTCATAACCAATTACTTAACCTTAAATTTGTCCACTTCAGAGGAAAATAATAGAATATAATCCCTCCCCTCATCCATCTTCTTTTTTTCTAATAGCCTGGTATAGGACATTTGGTTTTGTTTGGTTTTGGTTATTTTATTCAGAGCCAGAGCATCGAGTTTTGTCTGTTTTGGGCTCACATCACCCTAGCCTCCACCACATGCTCTAGGATTCACTTTCTCACGTGATTTGCTGATGTGTTCTCACTACTGGTGGCTAGCCATCTTTTTGAGCATTCTTTTTTTAACTTCCTAACCCTCATAATGTGCTGGGTGAGAAATACCCATTTTCTCTTTTCTGTGACTCAGGCCTCAGGGAAAGAAAAATACCAATTTGTTTTTGTTCTTTACCTTTCTAGGCAAAATCCATGTTTGGTAACCAGAGCTGTATATATTGACATTCTTCTCCTGTTGACTGGCTGCCTTGACAAACCTGCAAAAGGCAACCAACCAGGTATGACTCATTGGCTCTGTGATGTTCTGGAAGGGGTACAGTTCTTTGAAATGGGGTTATGGGTGGATCTCTTTCCAACCCCCCATTACCTGCTTTTATAAGACTAGCCAGCCACACAGCAGAATTAAACATAGTGTCCATCAGAATTAAACATAGTGTCATATGACTCCCTCCTAGAAGCTTCCTGAGAAAATTGTCCTTATTTAGTTGGAAATGTGCTGTTTATTTTCTATTTGGTCATTCAGAGAAGAGCATGGGCTTTTACTCAGATGCCCTCTGAGTTTCTGAGACCTTGACTTGGTCCCATTTCATACATTTTCTTTAAAAGGTCATCCTTTTCAGTAACTAAGAGTTCATTCTGTTCCACGCTGAGAAGATAACAAAGCTGGACTCATCTAATAAGGGAGCTTGGACACGTGATACTGTCTCAGATCTATCCCTTGCTACCTCAAGCTCTGCTGTTATACATGTTCCTGGGTCACGTATGTTTCCTAGTATGGGCCCCAGAGCCACATACGATAGTTCTATTTTAATCTTGATTCACAAAGTGGTTTTCTTAAAAGGAAGAGAGCAACTCCAAATAAAAAATTTTTTTGATGTGTTTATATAAGACGCCACAGGAAGTGCTGTACATGAATTCCAGGCCACAGACTGAAACTGATTTTCATCAACACAAACTGGAATGCAGGATAATGAGCCTGCAACTGGTTAAAATCAGCCTCTTCTAATTGATTAGGCCTGTCTAAAGGAGGCTACAATTACAAAGTCAGATTCTGAATACAAGCATGCCAGGCTTTTCCTCTGTTACATTTAGTCTGTCAATGATTTGTTGTCTTCAGTAAATACATTCAGGCTGTTGGAGTCCAGCTTTGTCCATATGGAACCCTGTTCCCAAATTCAAACCAATTTAAATTGCTTTGGGGGGAGGTGCGAAACCGCCTCACCCAGATCAGGGTATATTAGCCCACAATGCCCCTGTGGCCATGCAGAGGTAATAAGAACACGCCTGGACTTTCATCAGCTCCACATCCCTACCCAGGGGTAGCGGTTGTATCCGTTTGGTAGAATAGCATCGTAGAGTTTTATAGCTCTAAAGCAGTCTAGTCTAGGCCTCTTGCCCCAGCATAATTATTAATAGTGCCCCCTTTTACTCTTGAAAGTGTCCAGGTTTGCACAATAAATTACAGGGCACCTTAGCTATCCGGGATCTCGGGCTGATGTCTGCTTTACTGTACACTTGTGCAAACTGGGGTCTAGAGATTATCTGTCACATGTTACCAAGTAACTTGTTTGGGTGTCTACCATTTTCATATTGTGGTTCCAAGCCCTTCTCTGCTAAGCATGGCCTTGCCATGGAAGGTGCTCACTGCTGCTAAGCCCATTCACTTGGGATCCTGTCAGAACTGTGTGGTTGATTACAGTCATTAGTTTATTGCAACTAAGTCTTTTCTTGGCATAGTAGTACCATTATTACTTGTCTGCACATTCCTTGAATGTGGTAAATACCTTGCTCTCCTCCAAATGCCTGTCCTTTACTGACCAACTGGGCTCCTCCCTGCAAATGATTTTGGTTTTAAAAATCATCCTTTTCTCCCAACTCTTACATTGGTTAGAATTCATATCCCATTTTAATTTGACCATAAGCTGTCATTTGTTACTCAACAGTGTCAATGTCATATTCCTCTTAAAGTCATTACTTTGCAGAGTGAGGTGCATGGAGGATGGGACACTTTCCTCTTATTCTAATCTGACAGCCACAGCTCTAAATATTCTATCTTGTGTATCCAGTATGGCAGTCAATGGGCCCATATGTCTCTTGGTTACTTGAGAGATGACTGAGATCCAACATGTTCTGTAAGAATACACATCGGATTTCAAAGACTTCATATAAAAAAGGTACAGTTTTTCATCCATAATTTTTATTAGCTACATGTTGGAATGATAATCTTTTTGATACATTACATTATATAAAATATGATGCTATGGTTAATATCACAATCAATCTCCTAGGAGGAGCCTAGTTGGTCAGAAAGGACGGGCATTTGGAGGAGAGCATGGTATTGACCACATTCAAGGTCACCCTGCAGACAAGGTACTGCTATGCCAAGAAAAGATTTAGTTGCAATAAACTGATGATTATAATAAACCACACAGTTCTGATAGAATCCCAAGTGAATGGGCTGGTTTCTTTTAACTTTTTTTAAAGCTACTAAAAAACTGTAAATGGCTCATATTAGCTTCCTGTTGGACAGGTCCTGGCTTTATCCAGTTATCTTTATAAAGTAAAGTATTCATATAATACTTTCACATAGTTGTGGCAAGTTTTCCACCTTTGAGAATGAATTAGATTATAGAACTAACCACATATCAAGTAGGATGGCAACTAAAATGGATAACACTGTTTAGGATTAAAAGTGTACTGTGAACCTGAAGTAAGGTGTATAAATTGTTTCCAAAGGCACCAAACAAGGTGGTCACTTCCCTGGGTCTGTAGATTTCAAAATAATGTCATGACATTATAGTATTACCTTATAAGTGACTTGAAAGAATGACTCATGCCTTAGATTATTTTGTCCCCCAGGTCAGGCTGTTACAGGTCATCATTAATCAGGCTCGTTACTGACTGACTGTCTGAATTCCAGAGTTTCATAGTTTTTAGAATAGTGGTTGTTATCTAGATACAAGTCTTATTCTAACTCATGCATCAGTTGGATGTAAATTAATTTCCTGAATTCAAATCAGATGTTTTAAATCTCTTCAAATCAGATGTTTGTAATGTGTACTCTACTATTAGCTCATAAACATCAGAGAATATATACCACATAGGCTCAGAAGCCAGATTTTAGGTTCATATGCCTGCTGTTTACTTGCTTTGTGAGCTTACCAAGTCATTTACTCTCTTTGAAGCACTTTTTTTCAATTGTAAATGGGAATAATAATAGAATCTGTATCTTCACATAGTTGTCAACTAGTAATAGTAAAGCCCTGTGTGCTTTATGTGGTACAAAACAAGTACTCAGTTGGGCCTCCCTGGTGGCCTAGGGGTCAAGTCTCAGCGCTATCACTGCTGCGGCCTAAATTCAATCCCCAGCCAGGGAGCTGACCCACATGACACAGCAGACCTCTTGCCTGCTACTCCCATTGTCAGTGTATTTCAGTCAATCCACCTGTTCTGCTTCCCACCCTGGTGAGTCCTCTCACATAACCCCCCAACTCTGGCCAGTTCTTGTATGCATAAATAAATTTTTTAAATCTTTAAAAAAAAAGTTTTCAGTAAGTATTAGCTTTTAATGTTATCATCAGCAGCATAGAATTAGCTGGAAACCATGCATGTAACTCAATCCCCTAATGCTTAACCTCTTACCTCCATAACTCTCCTCATGTTATTACACGTTCAACTAGGAAAAAGTGTCTGTTTTCTTAGGAAACACTGAAGCATAACATACTTGACATAGGATGTCAAGAAACCACTTGGGAATCCATCTGATTAGGGATACTCCTTGCCCCACTGACTGATCCAGAAATGGGTCATTTTGTTGTTTGTTTTTAGTTTTTTCATTCATCAGACTTGACACACTAGCCTTAAACACAGGTTGAGCACCTATGTCTGAAGAGATATATGAATATGTCTATGGCTTATAAGTAGGTGTCTTAAGGTATTACATGTTCTATAAAGAAAGTATGCATGGGGTCCATTTGCAACACTTGTTGGGAGGATGGAAATGCAGAGTCTTGAGGCTGAATAGAGTATTCACCAGATGGGCAAGGTAGAGGTGGACATTACAGTCAGGGAAGGGATGGCCAAAGCACAGAACTAGCACAGAGTGATAGGGTTGTTGGATCTCGACCAGGCAAGTGTGACCAGAAGTGAGACTAGGGAGGCAGGAACTCATCATGGAGGGCCTCATAGGTCAAAGCTTAAGGAGCTTTGACTTGACCCTGTAGACACCCGAAGTTACTAGAATATATAAGACAGTGAGTCAGGCCATGTGTTTTTAAGGCAGTTACATTTCTTTCTGTGACTACATCCTGATAGAATTCTGAGGACTCTTGTGGAGCCAGGTTCCCACTGTCACTCAAAAAGAATGAAAATTCATGCAAAGAATGTTAGAGACTTGCTCAGGCTTTGTGAAAATTAATATGGGAGGTTTAGGAGGTGGAAGATGGGAAGTAGCAGACCAAACTCGACTTAAAGGCAGCACAGTGCTAAAAAAAATAGTTTTTTTAGAGTGGTGTGATTATAAAGGGGTTTCTTCCTTTTATTTTTAGCCTTGCTAATTTTATGCAGCATTAATCTGTTTTATTCACATGTGTACATGTACATGTATTTCAGCAATAAATGTATCTGACCATAAACCTTGAAAAAGATGCGTTATTCCAAATGAAGTAAATTAATATCACTTTTAGGAATTCTTTGGATAGAGGAGTATGTGTCCATCTGCTCTCAAATACTATTCTGTAAGAGACCTTGGAGGCTATTCCTACCTCTAAAAATCTTAGAACCACATTGAAAAGCTGGGGGATAAACAATGAGAAAAACAGTGGCGGGGAAAAGGCAGAAAGATGATTAAAAAAGCTTAAGATAATGATAAGTTTTGTGTAATCCAAACTTTTATCTCCATGCTTCCCAATCATTTGAGGTTTCCTCAGCCATTAACTAGGTTTTAAAAATTCCAAATCTGGGGGTTTTGTTTTGAGTTTTAAAGTGATTTAAACCCACAAGGATTCTCTGTCCCCTATATTCTTTTTCCTCTTCTGAATCCAGCTGTCATCATTAGTATATATCAGTTTCCTGCTGGAAAGAAAATTATAGTTTCCCATTGGAGTTGGGGGAATGAGGAAGAAAAAAATCTACTGCCATAAGAACCGAGAGGCTGGGTTACAGGCCTGTGCAAGGACCTGAAGACGGAGATCCTTCATTCTCAAACACATCTTAAATTATTTGCTCTCAGTTGGAAATTCCATTGAATTTCTATTCTATTTACTGAAATACTGAGACA